CGATTTCAGTCTGTTTCCCTGACCGGGCGTGTATAGTTGTCATTAATGTTTGTTATACTGCCCTCAACGTTATTTGTTATTATATACAGGGGCAGAAGCAACTCGAGGCATTCGCTGTAGCGTATCGGCAAGAGACTGGAACCGAGTTTACATGATTTGATGATATGATGATATGAAGATATGATGATATGATGATATGAAGATATGATGATATGATGATATGATACAGATTATTTGCTAAAGCACTCAAGTATTTTAAAATCAATGGATGCACCACCACGTTCGACCTAAGTGACGTAATCGTCACGTGACTACGCCTCTGCCTGAATTGGAGCACCATAAAACAATATTATTTGCAACATGGACAATAATAGATCGGGCAAAAAAACGTTATTTAATCGTCCCCGGTAAGGACGGACATTTTTATTTAGAGATGTGACACCGAAAGTATTTTTCAACTAACGACTTATACTGCCCTCATCGACGATAATATGAAATACGTCTTTGTGCAAGATGAAAAAGTGCAGTAGGTGCAAGCACAACACCCTCTGGTTGGCATAGTGACTGCTAAGTTTATTTACCTTAGTCATTGGGAATGGACATTCTCCGGAACAGTAAAACGCATCAAATGATTTCGGGGATATGACGTAGGCATTCCAACCAATCAACTGGAAATCTACGCGCATCACGTGACGGCCACATAACTTCCACGTGTACTGGTCTTGTTCGTCCTCTTCTTTCTTTCGATTTTTCTGTCGCTGCTTCTCCAGTAGAGTCTTGGTGTGCTTACGTTTCGATTTCACGCGTCTCGTTCGTTTTTTTGATTGTTTCTTCCGGTTCCTTTCGGTGAACTTCGGGAAGGTGTCGGGCATGTTGTTATACATCGTCTCCTCGTCCACTACTTCCGGGTATTCATTGGTCATCAACGCGTAAGTATGAATACTGCGTTTGTTACGGTGAGCCACCGTAAGATTTCCGTCGTTGAATACATCAGGCGAGGCATTAGTATAATATCCCGAGCTGTCGGGATCACTCTCGGCTGGAATCGGGCGTTCGGTCTCTTTCAAGGTTAGATCTTTTGCGAACACCAAAACAAACGGGTTAGCGTGTCGCAGGAATCTGTTACCATAACGATATAACGAGCTGGTATGGTTGGTCATCTTGGATTGCAAGTTGTTCTCGACTCGAAATTGCGCACCAAGTTTAATATCTCCCGTGTTAAATTCAATCGCGTTGGTTATATCAGCGATTTGCCACCCGTAACTTGGTAGCGGAACGTTCAAAGATTTCGTCACCCGACACTGCGAATCTTTTCCCGCACTCTTCTGTAAAATGTCTAATTTCAGTTTTTCGTCGAACTCTTCTTTGCGCAGATCAGTCTTCACCTTGTAAAAATGAAACTGCACGGAAAGTAATGTTTCTTCTACCGGAAGTGACGGCAGGTGCACGTTGTATACATTGTTTAATCCACATCCGGGACCTACAACAGAGAAAAACTCCATGAATGAATGGGCGGATACGTGTAACATGCCTAGAAAAATAGATTTACTTTAAAATGTCGCACTTTTGAACAATAATTTATTTGGCGATCATACTATTTTTTCAATAATAGCTGAACAGTACACCATTCCGAAAGATGGCGCCCCCTGGAGACGAGCGCTCCTGTGACCTCAATGACGTGAATGATGATTGGTCAAAGCAA